TGGCAAACAATTTGCGCCTCGATTGAATCACTTCCTTTATTAGGAGCTGTATTGAATTTGCCTAAGTCTCGCGGTCTGTTCAGTTTCCTGTACGCTGTCATTTCTGTTGAACACTGCAGTTTTATTTCCCGTCCAACAGCCAAAACGTATGATAGTAGTGTTTTTGGGTCTTGCAATACTTAGCTCAGACTGCATCTGCATAAGTACTTTTGTCTCCAAATTGCTATTTTTAGTTTGTAATATTTTTTTTATAGAAATAGGGTGGCAAACGATCACACAGTCCACCTGATGGTAAGTGGTTGCTGAGACCCATTGACATCTGCATCTATCCTCGATTACGAATCAAAATGCAGATGCGTTGTCAGCCTTGAGGACTATGATGGAATACCTCTTTTACAGTAAAAAGGGTCTCCGGTTCTCTACACTCACCATAAGAAACACAGCAGTGCTATTTTACGCTGGTATTCTGTGAGAGCGTGGTCCTTCCCCTGTCCAGCCGACCCAGTCGTGCTACAACTATTCTATAAAAATAGCTACAGCTTGTCTCTACCACGTAAAAAATACTAATATTGTTAGTTTTGGTTTGATTATAAACTAATATAATTAATATTTTACTATATAAACGAGATTTTAACAATTTTACGTCGATTATCCCATTTATCCTTTTGCATGCGTTACTATAAAGAAGTGTATATTGTACACATATAGTTAAAATGCTTTTTTTATCAAATTATCAAGTCGGTAACACCTTATTGTTATCAATAATCGTTTGCACATGCCAAAATTAATTTAATCTTTATTCTGTAGATATTTTTAAAATTGTACTATCAGAAAATATAGGTCAAGGTGTAGATAATGTTTTATCCCAATTATGAACGTTATATTCGGGTTTTATATGAAAAAAATCGGAATAATAAATTGTGAGCCGTTCATTATCGCCATCATCAGTATAGCCTTCAAAAAACGATTGTTGAACATAGACCTCTCCCAATCCCAAACCTGCATCCATCGACTTCCCGAAAGTATTACCAAGTCATCAGTCTGGATGGGGTCTGATCTTACATTTCGATTGTCGGCACGAGACTACAACTTGAAAACTTTTCCACTCCAACGGTTGTTGGATTCTTTGAGTTATATGGCCAGCCCTTTGCCATTTCAGCTTAGTGATCCGTTGGGCTATGTCGTTTGCATGTCGTTACTACGGATTTCTCATTAATCTATTACTACTGCGGATATCCTCATTACAAATTCTATCACGCAGAAAAACACCAAGCATAGCCCTCTTGGTTCGCTGGGTGACCTTAACATTGCTCATACAGACTACCTAGCCGGTTGGACATGTCAATTGACCTCCCGGTCCTCGAAAAACATGTCGTAGGTAAAATATTCGTCAACAACAACGAATGTTGTGACCAACTAACAGAAAAGTTGAGACATGAATGCCACACATGACATTTGTCTAGAGTGTAAACTGACTGTTTGCGACTTCGTTCGCACGGAAAACAAGACAATAGTCAATAGACAAAACTATCTTTAGAGTCATTTGAGTTTCATATTAAACAGAGAGAAAACTAAATTGGTTCATGGGTTACTATTTACTTATATTCTGTGTAAATTTTATGTCAATAGGTTTACCAGCCTAAGTTAAATTCGTTTATGTAAACAGGTATTTTACATAAGATTCGTTATAAAATTAAATGTAGAAAGGAGAAAAAGTATTTGGTAGCAAAAAATTCAATAATAATATACAGGTTTGTACTGTTATTTCCAAGTATAGGTAATACTTTAAATTGCATAATAAGCTGATAATTAAATAACCTTTGCCAATTGTTGAGGTAATAAGTGAAAAAAATTGGAATAAGCAGCAATTTCGCCCAAACAATAATTGTAGAAATAATAGTGAAAGCTAGCACCGTTTTTTTTTTACTGTGAGAACCGTACTCTTTGTATCAGTAACAAGTGATATTATTTTTGTAGATACTTAGGAGGGACAATGACATCAACTGTATTTTGCTCTGGTTTTACCCTGAATTTTTAAAAAAATAAGCATAAACCAATCCCTATCGTTGTTTTGATAATACGAAAAACGAGTAATAATGTCCACCAGACCAAATTTCGATCACAGCGGCCAGCCTCAACGGAGACTAGCCATCGGCACAGGACAGGATTATAGTGCCCAAGCGCAAGCAGAAGTGCACTCTCTATTCCCTCACTCTCATAGTCCGATGGAACGGTAAACTAACACGACTGGAGAGAAATCAGGCGCAGGACCAACGCAACGGCTTTACGTACTTTCTGAGGCACAAGGGACACACTGCCAACTTCCTGACACCGGGCAGCTCCTGAGAATTTATTGATCGAAAAGCTCAATAACTGATATTTTTTGCCCGACCCGGGATTTAAAAAAAGTCGAAAAAACAAGTAATAAATTACTAATTGATTAAAATATTCAAATTATTTAGAAGACAGAATTATACCTAATAATTTTATTGTATGTGATAAAAGTATTACATATAATATGTAACATAGTAGTATATTAGTTAATATCAATGATTTCAAAAGGAAGGATATGCCCATCTAAACATTTTACTTATACCTTCTTCATAGTAGGTATATTCGTAGCACCATCTGTCTTAACACCGTAACCGAAACCGTAGATGTATACTCTAGAGGCGTGACCACCGGCGCGTGAGAAAAAAACATGAAAGGTCGAACTTAATACACAAAAACTCAAAAATATTGTACATCGAAAATAAAGTATAATTTTATTTTCGATCTACAATATTTTTGAGGGTCTGCATCCAACCCTGGCGTAACCTAAAGTCGCGTTGACCTTAAACTGTCATATTTTAGGGTCAACGCATTTGTGCCATTTAGTTGCGCGGTAGGCCCGGTCCTTACGCTAGTAATATATAAGTCAATGGTTAATATACTTTTGCAGATTTTAAAATTAGAAAGGTATGAAACTTGGATATCTTGGTGACAACCTTTTTATTTTTGCATAAATATACTGGTCGTTGTCACATTAACGAGACATTGACTTGTACGTATAGCGTATGCCACAGACTAAGCACTATAGATAGCGTTGTTAATATTCTACGCTATCAGTGTTTACATTAAGATCAAATTGAATCCATATATTATTATAGAATCGTAATGTGAACGTGTTCTTTGCAAAGGTACTCTTCCTCTCTTCTCTTCTCCTTTGATTATATCAAAGCTTACTTATATACTTATGACACAGATAATTAAGTAAAATCGGTCAAAAGCGTGAACTGCCTATCGTTGCAGGCTACTGAAGGATATGTCCCGATCAGTTTAAACATCAATTAGATATAAATGTATTCGTTAGGAAACATCAAGAATAGTTTGAATTTTTAGCCGACTTCAAAAAAGAAAGAAGTTTACTACACAGTTACTGTTGAACTTCAATATAAAATTTGGCTACTCTTTGAAAAATAACCCTATATAGAGATGACAATTGAATGTGCTTGATTGAAAGCACCTTGATCTTCCGTCTGTATGTTAACTATACGAGTGTAATCGTAATTAACAAGACTCAAAAATTTGAATTGTTACGTTACTTTAAGTATATTGTTTACATTACTTAAATTAAAAACAAACAAAAATATTAGCAGGAAAATAATACTGCGATTAGCGTGTCCATTATTCTATAAATATTTCTTTTTAATTCTTTGAAACTCAATTTTTAATCGTAGTTGTGACGTTTTCTAAAGGGGTCAAATAAACTAAATTTAGAAAATTTGTGTGCAACAGAAATTACAGTGATTCTGTGTGAACAAAAACTTGACTCAGTTAGCTAGCAAAGAGAACTAAATGGGACAAGATTTCTTGTCTCAATTTATAACACATAATTGTTTCAGCTTTTGATAATAATTTAATATGAGGTGAAAAAATATAATCTTCGATTCGAAGGTAAAATTTTATATTTACCTCGATTGAAGATTACTGCAGTAAAATTTGATATCCTCCTATTCAGACATTCCTGTTTTCTACTCGTCCTTTAGGAGACTCAAAAATATTATTTCTATTTTCCTTAAACCTTGTACAGCAATTATAAGAGTGGATTTATTGAAACATTTTGAATTATGAAATGTGAAAAAAATTAACAATTAAAAATATCTTATTACGTTTTTATCAATATCTATAGTCTAGAAGTAGGTAAATATCTTAAATAGTTGCACAATAATTTTTGGGAAAAATTAAAAGTAATCATTATATAAATATCAATACAAAGTCATAGACATAAAGCATAAAACTAACTTTAGCTTCCTACATATTTATTTATCTATGACTATTACAAAAAGAATAGTCTAAATGATATGGACAAAAAACCGCGCCAAATGTCATGCATAATAAAAAAGGTACACATTAAAGCTTTTTATTCGTGAATAAATTATAATAATATCATTATGTTAGTAATCTTTGACAGTTAGCTAAGTTAAGAATTTGAATATCATCAATAAAAAAATACTTATTTTAAATACTGATCCACATTTGTCCCGGCGTTAGATTTAAGAGGTTAATTGGTTTAATTACTTATACCACAAGCAAGAATTGCCCAGAAAACTAACTGTAGATTTCAAAATGAACTCGCCATGGTTCTCCACTACATTTAAAAAAAATAACTACTGCTGGACTAAGTCTTTATTAGAATGTTTAATCACGAAAATGCTTTTAAGTATGGTTTATAGCCTAATATTTTCAGAATTATTATTGTAAAATATAAAACAATCATTTTATTTACCTATAAGTAAATAAAACATAATGTTTTCAGAAAAAAATGTCACAAGTATCCATTTTCTCTAGTCAGTAGAAAGTAAAAATATTAAAGTATATAAAAAATGGTAAACATAACCAAACACATTACTGACGTTTTCGGTAGCCATTTGTCGGCCACGGAAGTGTTGCCAGGCGCGTAAACACACATAAAAGTAAAAAAATATACACATATAGTAAGAAAACAAATAAAAACTAACCACTGAGTGCAGCCACATATTCTCTCCACTTGCTCCGGATACTCATTGCTCCTTTTCATAGAATAAATCGAATAAAACATTTATGATTTTTGTAATGCAGTTCTGTCCATGTCGCGCACACTGTTTTATAATGTAGCGGTAGGAAGACGCATATACTTCAATCTAATATTAGAAGGCCACGTGCTGTTCGCGTTTCGTTGTAATCGTGAATGGTCTGCTGATCGTGTTAGTGCCGACAGTACTCTCGTTTTGTTGACAGTTTCAGCTGACAATATTATATACGTCAGCCGGCAGTAGACGCCGTGCGCAGCGGAGAGCTGCCGGCAGGCTTGTGTTGCCTCTGTCGTTTTAGATAAAGCTACGCTTTGTTATTTGCTTTATCATTCATTGCGCTGCGTTCTACCGGAATGATAACGTCATTGTGTACACCTGCTCCCATTGGTTCATGTAAAATAAAACTTTGCAACGTAAAAATACACAATACTTCAAATTTGTTGTTGTTTAATTAATATCGTTGTTAAAGTTTTGCATGTTAAAAATATTGAAAAGAACGGTTCAGGTAGAACACAATGTAACTGGATTTTTTCTTATTTTATTTAAGTATTGATGATTCCTTAAATGTATAAAGAAGATAACATTTGTGTTATTAAAATATCCATGAAAAAATTAAATTAAATTTGATTGACATTTTATTATTAAACTAACATCACTAGCATCTTTAATGAATCATTTAAAATTTTGAATATCCGAAATATAAAAATACATATTCACAATTTGTAACCGAACTTGATGTAAATTTTCGTATAGTTTTCAATGTCATTACAAAATATAATTCTAACGAAAGCACTTAGACGATGTAGTTAATTCTTTCACAATATAATTTATTAATTCATTCACATTCATTTTTATTAGTTATCCGTATTATCCGATACAGTCAGATATAATATCATATAGTTTCATACTCATATACCATACAATCTCAGTATTAAGTTACAACCCTAATATTAATAAATTTGACATAATTTTATTTGTATTATTTTAACAAAATGGCCACAACAGACGACCTCCTCGTTCATGGTTGAATTTTTAAGTATCTGCTAAGTGACGATCATGTTTAAAAATTCAGCTGTAGGCAATTTTGTGAAATAAACTACTTATCGGTAAAGGTATAAACTATAATACGGCCGACGTATCTTGGCGAGTCTGAATATAGGCTCTGCGAAGTTTAGCGCATGAACACTCGTGAAGAAAACTGTTATTGTCATTTTTTTATATATACCAATGTACAAATAAAATTTCCCTAATACAGTGACCAAAAATATCAAAACACTTTGGAGACATTATAAATTAAAGATTCAATTTTGATACCTCACCTTTCGATAGGGGCAGATTTTATCACAAACACATACAATATTATTTACATTTAATACTTTTTATTTATTTACACTTATTATTATTTAATCACTGTCGCTGAGGGGGGAAATTCCTAACATAAAGTCGTCGGCCCCTTGTGTACCATGTGAGGTACTTGGCATAGGTTCATCTTCGTAATCGTCGCTCTCACTTTCAGACTCACTTTCTGAATCTGAAGCTGTATTAATGATGAACAATTGATCCGTCATTTCGTCAATAATATGGTCGCTCTTCCTATAGTCATGTTCGACCTCTTGCACTTTTCTGCATAAAGCACTCCATTCATTCTGACCCATTAAATTTACTTTTTCTTGTATGAGCTCCATTGTCCGGGTTACGTTCCAGTCGACGTTTTTAGCGGCTACGTGCCCTTTAATGGCAGCCCACACCATCTCGATGGGGTTTAAATCGGGATGATATGGGGGTAAACGAAGGACATCGTGGTTGTTTTGTTTAAACATTTCATCTATTACGTATTTTTTATTCACGTCTTTGTTTTTTTTTATTAGATCGTAAAGTTGTGGTTTACGCATGTCCTTTTCATATGGTATACCCTTTTCTAATAACCACGATTCCATTTTTGCCTTCTTGTCATTAGATGTAGGGGCAGGATCCATTAATTTGTTGTGGTACGGAGCATTATCGATAACCACCACCGAGTTAGGGCTCAAATTTGGAATCAGTTGGGTCCGTAACCATTTCTCATAATTTTTGAAATTCATGTCATCATGATAGTCTCCGGTTTTGCTGCCAGATTTGAACATTAGTAGCGCGTTCGGAACAAACCCTGCTTCTGACCCAGCGTGTACCATCACTATCCGCTGACCTTTTGATATCGGGCGCTTTAGTCCTTGAGCGGAACCATCTGACCACGCCTTACCTTTTGTATGTGATGAGTGGGCATACGACTCGTCAGTGAATACAATTGGTCGCCCTTCGTCCCTGTATTTTTTCATTGCCTTCAAGTACAAGATCCTTTTCAGGCGAATGTCGGTCTTCTCTATAAGAACCATTCTATTGGTTTCGGTCTTTCGCCACTTGAAACCCAAGTTTTTGATAATTGTCTTTAAGCTCGTTTTACCACCTTGAAAATTTATATCCCGTTTGAGTTTCGCTAGTAATTTGTTTATCGTCGGCATTTCTTTTTCAGTTTTGTGGAAGTTGTGTATGCATCTTTTTACTACTCCCTGGTCAAAATTATCCATATCAGTAATAGGTTTTGATCTAGACCTTTTTTTACCAGGCGTGCGGAATACTGAAAGTAAGCCCGAAATATTGCCTTCAGTTGCGATCCGCTGTACTGTGCGTTGGGACACACCAGTTGCGTTAGCAACTCTTAAATAAACTTTATCGACATCTTTTACGCCTTCTTCTTTTTCTTTTTTCATATATTGCGTTAAATCGTAAATAATTTTTCTCGCCTGGCGATTTAACACACTGTTATGTTTTGGTGGCATGTTTGGCGAATAATATAAGTGCTAACTGACACTTGCAAATAAAACAAATAAAACAAATAAAACAAACAAAACAAACTTAACACTATTAATAAAAACAAACAACAATAACAACGAAAACTTTTGTAACCGACTGTGCTCAAGACAGAGATAGCGACACGAACACGACACCAATGCTAACGTGTGACTGAGAAATATTACCGTGTACCGAGCATTGCCGAATAAGCACGAAGCTTTACGAAGTAACCAGAAAGGGATGTCCAACACGCGTGCCTGAGGGTGTTGTTTAATCGATTTTTATTCAAATCGATTAAAATTAAGACATAAAAATATATTTATTTGCAATTTATAAGGAGGTTCTAAATTTTCTCAAATAGTCGTTACTCAAGAAGACGTTAATAGATAATTGATATTTAAGTACATTATGTCTTTCAGCTGAGAAAATAATATGTTTTTAGTTTTTTTTTTTTATTTAAGTCGAAATCTTGTTTATTATCAACAAAATTCACTATATTTGTAAATCTATTTCGTTTAATATCTTATATAAACAAAAATCAATAACTTCTAAATAAAACTAATCGATTGCGATATTTTATGACTAAAGGGTCGATTGTGTTTACTTATGGTCAATCTCTAGCCTAGACCACCGCCCCCCGTACGTCGCCTCATGCCACCATTTTGTTCCTTAAAAAAGCTATTGCGCAACCTTCTGCGCGAAGGTCGGACTCGCCAAGATACGTCGGCCGTATTGTACATATCTTCAAAACATTAGCCGTAACTTGAATCTTATGTTCCGAACATAAAACTTGTATCGGAAACGTCCCGAAACAAGTTTTAATGTTTTCATTTCAAGAATCGCTATATAGGTTTGTCGCTAACATCTATTAAACACACTCATGGACATGAGGTCAATGATATTATATATAAATTATAATATTATTGCATGAGGTTAAATTTTATTTACCGTTGTGTTATTGTACTGGCCACCTGTAACACCATCTGTTATTTTATGTCAGTCCTTTTTTCTCTTTTTTATTCATCTATGTATTAATATCAATGAATGCATTTAGTTTAACACACTCTAGTTTAAAATTATTTAATTTGTTAAATGATTTAACTTATTTTTTAAACGATTTAACCAGTAGATGTGTTTAACTGAGAATTGTTACAAATAATCAAGCATCGGAGTAATATATACTTACGTACTAATCAAGTAGCCTCAGGTTTAATTGAAGCAACGTGCTAAGAAATCATACTTTGACCGTATTTTATGACGTCAAATTAGAATTAGAAAAGTTGAACTTAACGCGGCTTATAAATGGGCGTCTTATCCTAACAGAGATCCTTTGTTTACCGTGGGTCATGCTGTAGAATTTAGCTTTTATAAATTACTATTCACTCATAAGTATTGTTTTTGTCCTCACCCAGATGATAGAACGATCCAAATTCGGATACGACCTGGAGAAACATACGCCCATCAAAATTATGTTGGAGGTCAATGTTTACCAGTGGATTTTATAGGCTGTAATGGATGGACCTTATGCGACTCTTACTAAGATAGGGTGATTGTACTCTTACGCTTCTTTATAAAACTTTATAGGTACTTTTATCATTCCGTAAACCGTTCACTATTGGATATGGGCTTTTCTTACAACACAGGGGATTTGGAGTAATAACCATGCCCGGCATTCAGATTGGGTTTTTCAGTAGTTTAGTACTAGACGTCTGGGCTAGATAGTTTATATTGGAAATAATTATACTCCCATTAATCGGAGGCTTAGAGATATTTTTGAGTTTTTCCCAGAGTACCCTATGACATCTATGTGATCAGATGAGATGACAGATCGGACAGAGTGATTATTTTAAATTGGCCACCACATTTCAATTGGTAAATAGATTATTAAATTTAAAAATATTATAGACAAAAGTTTAATGGTTAACATCCTTTATTGTTAATTACAAAGCTGTCCGACATTAAATAGAAAATGTTGTTAAAGAAAAAAATTGCGAAATCCAGGAACTTTTGCAATGACGAGGCAAATACTATTTACTTTTATTTTTTAACAAAGTGGAGTAACTAAAATTATTTTGCAGTCTTTATGCGATTAATTCCTTTGCTCTATTAATATAAATGATTGTTACCCATTTATACATCATACAATTAACCATAACATAATGT